TAGAAAGGGTAGAGGGATAATGGAGAATCTAGCAGCAATTTATTGTAGAATTAATTGTGCAAGATCCTTGAAGGAACATGCAGTCATGGTAATCCTAGACGTTACTGCAGCCTATGACAATGTTAATTTATCAAAACTCATTCCAATACTTTCTACCTACGATGTCCCCTATGATATGGCCTGCCTCATCTACAAAATGTTCTCAAATAGAAACATCCACCTTAGAGATCCGAGCTCCGGACGAACCATAGGCCCAGAAAACTCCAATTGGGGCCTCCCTCAAGGATCACCTCTTAGTCCCCTATTATTTAATCTTTATGTAAATTCAATTCAGGGTTGCGGGGAGGGAAATGTTGCTATTTATCAATATGCAGATGATATTGCTATCTTTAATTCAGGAGAGGACTTCCAACAAGTTTCAGATGAGATCAGTGTTACTTTAATGAATATAGAACAATGGCTATTCGAAAACAATTTATCCTTGTCACCTGGGAAATCAGAAGCCATTTCCTTTTCTAGGCAGAACAATCGGAATTTTGTAGTAGGAGGTCAGCGTATTCCATGGAAAAGGGAAGTCAGGTACTTGGGAATTATATTTGACACTGCACTGTCTTGGAAACCACACATAGATAAAATTATCTCCCGGGCACATAAAAGTATTAATCTGCTAAGAGCTCTCTGCAAAACGTGGTGGGGAGCTCATCCTCTTACTCTTCTCACGATGTATAAAGCTTTGGTTAGGTCACATCTCGACTTCGGTTGCTTTTTATATGGAATGTGTAACAAGCAGCTGCTTGGTAAAATAGATAGGATTCAGTTTCAAGCTCTTCGGGTAGTGCTCGGAGCAATGAGATCCACCCCTACCATCGTTCTACTGTCGGAAACAGGAGAAATGCCAATGGAAAATAGAAGGTTCTGGCTAGCGGGAAAGTTTCTTCTGAAGCTGTTCTCCTTCAATAATCCAGCAAGTGTCTTTGTAACCAATTTCTACACGGTGTACATGACGAGGAACATTGGGAGATTAACAACAGTTCCCCCTCTGATTGAAGCATTTTCATTTCTAACGATTCATCGTCCACAGCTTTCTCATCTTCCCCTGCTCCCATGCTACCTATTTCCAATAGAAACCCAATCATTTCCCATCCCGATCCATGATCTTGGGCTGACCAAGGAAGGTGATAATAAAATGGAATTCACCATAAGGTCGAGGGAAAAATGGCCTACGGAGACGATGATATTCACGGATGGCTCTAAAATAGAAGATAGCACTGGATATGGAATTTATTCGTCAGACTTTAGTGTATCTGCAAAGCTTCCAAAGTCACTCTCAATCTGTTCCGTTGAAGTTTTCGCGATAAAAGTTGCCCTGGAGAAGATCCAAGAGCTGGGTATTTTACATTCGATTATTTTATCAGATTCAAAGAGCGCTCTTGAGAGAATAGCAAATTGTGATATTTCTTCAAAAAGAGATTTACAGTCTCTGAAGGCCAGAGAAAAAATAGAGCAGATAGAGGCCTCAGGTAAACAAGTGCACTTAGTGTGGATCCCAAGCCACACTGGAATCCCCGGAAACGAAAGAGCAGATTCATTGGCCAAATCAGGATGCAAGCTACATCAGGAGCAGCGGGCATTTACCTGGTACCAAGATATTCAAGTGATATTGAAAGAGCAAATCTGGAACAAGTGGGTCAACACCTACCGTGGGCTAAGTGGAATCAAAGGAAGAAGTTACACTCCTTCGGTGAACACCCCCCTGAAAGTGCCCTGGTTCAAGGCATGCCCTGCCCTAACAAGGAGCGAGATAACTACTTTAAACCGTATGAGAAGTGGTCACTGCCTCACTAACACTCATCTGCATAGGATCAAAATTAAAGATTCCCCGTTATGTGAATGTGGTTTCCCTCAGGACCTCGACCATATACTCTTCAGCTGCCCAAACAATCAATTCAATATTAATGTGTTACAGAATAGATTGACAACCAAGAGCAATAATAGGGCAAGTCACTTTCCCCTCTCACGACACAACATCCTCTTTGAAGACATAAGTGCTGAAAAGTGTCAATTGTTACACCAGTTTCTGAGCTCTTCTGGATACAAACTTTGACAGTGCACAGACAGAAACTCTTTTGTTATCATTTTATTTCAAGTGTGATAAGTAGTAGCTTCGGTCATCGCTTTGAAAGACTAAGTAGTTGCCTGCTAATGTGTTGCTTTTGTTTGCTTTAGCTAGTATAGATAATGCTTTGCAGTATCATTTCCCTTGCTGCATGTGGTGCATGTAGAGGTGAAGTGCGAAAAACTATTAGAACTGTTTAATTCCTATAGGAACCTCTACGGGGCATGGGATTCCCCCAGACCTGCCACACGGTGGACCCCAGTAGAAAGGATTAAAATTGATGCGTGTACTTGGCCAGATAGCCCAGGTAGCTAAGGCCATTCAAATCGAAAGGAAGAAGAAGAAGAAGCAAATGTCAGAAATCTAGTGTTTATCCCCAGAAATGAATAAAGATGGATCTATATATAACTGTTTCACAAACACTTCAGAGTGAGAGGAGATGAGGATCTGTATGTACCCTGTTAAGATGAAATTCAAATACCAACTTAAAGAAATGAACGAAATAGATGATTTATTTTCAACTTTTGATTCATATTCAATTTGATTGTTGCTCACCAATATTCAATGATTTGCCAAAATTTAATACTTAATGATTCCAAATATTATACAGGGTGTTTCAGTTTTTTGTAGCAGGACTTTAACATCTTGAAGAAGACATTGTTCTAAGATGAAAATCTCATACAAACATATATGCGTGGGAGCTTCGTTTCCGATTTACAGGGTGTCAAAGTTTAAGATTTTTTTAATGATTTTTGAATTTTCTCCTACAATTTTCGGAATAATTGATTGGAATTTGGTACACCTAATACACTTCAAAAACTCAATATTCGAGGCTACTAAGCGTTTCTGAATACCTGCAGGATGATAGGCTTTCAGTAAATGTTTAAGAAATGTCAAATAAGTGTGTTTGAGAGTTAACGGTTTTATTACAAGTAATTTATTTATGGCATTCATCTCGAGATCCATACATTTTTCGAAAAATTTACATTGGAGCAAAAAGTTCCCAAATTGCAGAGACAATCTGAATCTATGTCCCATTGAAAGCAGAGGCGGCACGCAAAAAAGTTCTACAGGGTTAAATTGGGTACGACCCCTGAAAGTCTATCACCCTGTAGGTATTCAAAAACGCTCAATAACCTCAAATATTGAGTTTTTGAAGTGTATTAGGTGTTTCAAATTTCAATCGATCATTCCGAAAGTTGTAGTAGAAAATTCAAAATACATAAAAAAAATATGAAACTTTGACACCTTGTAAATCGGAATCGAAGCTCCCACGCATATATGTTTGTTCGAGATTTTTATCTTGAAAAAATGTCTTCTTCAAGCTAGTTTTTGGTATTATTGTTCACTATACTTCCTTATACCAGAACTTGATTCTGACTGCGAAAGCCACATTTTCAATAAAAATAAAAAATAAAAAATATAAACAGTGTGATATAACTGTTTTACTCGTTGAAATAATAAAAAAGTTCACATAAACATGTACTTTTAAACGCGTCAATTTCGAGATATAGAGTGTTGAAAAAACGAGTCTGAATATTGCTTTTTAATGAAAATTTCGAAAGGGTTTAAGATGAATCAACAAAATTTCCCACAGATACTATAACTGTTTACGCCCTATAAGATGAAAAAGTGAACATAGCACTTTCGTTTTAATTACATTCGAATTGTATTATTGTACTGAAAATGTTACGATATATTTTTGAATCGATTCAACTAGAAAACGGCGAAACGCATCAAAAACTCTAAGATGAGCTTTTCCACGCAGATTTTGAACCATAAATTGAGAAAGCAATGCACATATAAAAATTGGGGTGATCTTTTCTTCACCACCCCCTTATTCAGCCGTCACTGAATTAATATATGAAATATGTTTTATATCATCTCATCGAGCGTAAAAAGTTCAATATCTGTGAAAAATTCAGTTGATTTATATCAAACCGTTTTGAACTTTTCAACAAAAAACAATATTCTGACTTGTATTTTCAACTCCTTATATCTCGAAAACGACGCCGCATACTATATGAACTTTTTTTATCATTTCAACGAGTACAACACACTGCTGAATTTTTCGTATCACAAACCCGACCACCCTGAAAATCTGCCATTGTTATTCCTAATCTTCACCCTGTTGATAAATACTACACTAATTTTCGTCTCCACATTCTCACGTTTCACTATTTGTGAAAAATCTCGGCCACTATAGGCGAATGTAAGTGAACCTCGAAGTGAATCTCTTCAACTCTTCATGCAAATGATAAGTTCCTGAATTAACAACTATGAAATAACCAGTCATAATAATAGAGGACACTGAATTTTCAAGACAGTGTTGAAGAGCGAATCATAAATATATCATAAAATAATTAGGGAATTTCATCGAGTTAATCTTGAATAAACAAGGTGATTTCAAAAAAACACGATTATTTTTGTCAATTTCAACATCATCAAAAATCTTCATGATCACCCTATATATCCCAACGAAATCATGTTCGTACGGTATCAGCTATATTTAGAGGATTGAGGGGTGCAACTAGGTGGTAATTTCACATAATAAGTGTAATTTATGCGTTAAGTTCAATAATACCACTATATATCGAAAGTAATTACTTTCCATTTTTTTGATGTTTCTTCTGAATTAATATTTTAGAACCACTTCAAATTACCACACCCATGTAATTTTTCACTATAAAGGTGTGAATTGACAATGCTGTACAGTGTACACGGTATTATCAAATGTCTAATAATATTGATATAATATTGCTGATCAAAGTGTTGATTCAATCGGAGTTATTTCAGAAATTCACTCTATTGAAATTACACTCGAAAATTTCTTACTGTGAATCTGAAGAAAAAAATATATAAAATGCATTTAGTAAATATGTACCTCAAGAGATCCAGCACAACTTGATAGTTTCACACTTCTTGGAAGAACACTGCAGATTTTTCCTTGTGTAATTCTCAATTTTCCGAAGATTTTTGATGTGTAGGACATATTGGAATACCTATTTATCACTTTTCAAATCGTCAAAGTGACGCGTATTTCAAAAATCGCAGATTCCTAGATCGAGTTATGATTTCTTCAAATCCCGCTTCAAAAAATCGCGTGAAAATCAAATGGAAAATCAAGGTTGGTAGACTGGTAATTATTTGAATCATCAGTGTTACCAACCTTGATATAAAATAAAACGTTGCCCCATCTGACGGCAACAACTAGAACACTTCTAAAAGGGAAAGTTAACATATTATTGGAGTAAACAGACCGCTTCGATAGCATCTATAAACTCCGATAGATGACAATGCCTGTTAGAATCAGTTCTACCAACCTTGAGAATGTTGACTGGTGGTTGACTGTTGACTGTTGACTTTGAAGTTGGAAGTTGACTGTTTGCCTCGTTTACTGTCTGCATAGAGTTTCCTATGGTTGTCTGTCAAAGTGTCATTACTGTCATTGGTGTCAAATGCGAATGTCAAAGAAGCGGTCCCTTGTATGATCTAAGAGCGGTCCAATTTCAATGCAAAATGCAAAATAGAGAATGTTGGTGTTTGAAAATGTGGAAAACTTATGGAAAACTAATTATTATCCTGTTTTCTTTAACATAAACTAGCCTTCGAATTTCAGAATGGAGCAAGCAAGATCTTCCGGAAATGAGTATGTTGTATAATAACGCTGGGTTCAGTAATGGGATAATAAAAGTTTCTTTTCATAGGGGACAATCTTCCTTCATTTTGAACAAGAAACCTATTCCTGAAGTTACGTTGATTGTTCATGAACAGTCTCTGGATAAGAGCGTTCTCGTGAGAATAGTACAGGAATGTCACACACCATATTTTTACCACAAGTTTATTGTGAGTACCTGGAGGAGTACCTACTGTTGGATTTTATGATTTTGAACATCTAATCTCACAAGGGATATAGATAAAAGAAGTGTTCAAGGAGAAGTGTATATTTCATATCCTCGGATGGTTGCTTATTTTCAAGTCAATTGTAGCAATTTGATGTTGTGGGTTGTTTGTATATTACAAGTAGAAATACCTACTATTAATTTGGTTTTGTAGTTGAAATGATAATACAGGGAAAAAGGGAAATAGGGAAATATTCCTCATAATTCCTTCTTGGTTTTGTTTTGACATTTATCTAGACTGGATGCAATGATGCAGAGGTATACCCACAGATTTAACTAATTAATACCTTAATACCTACTTACGAGGGTGTATATACACATCTGATAATACAGATTGATGGCCAAATTTATGTAAATAGTGTTCTTGGTCTTATTTATGAATCCATATATAAATACCTAGAATATTTCAGAACAAAAATAAAAATGAATTAAACAAAAACTCTGAAGCCTGAAACACAACCAAACACCACTTTGAACAATAGTAAATGAAATTTTTATATTCTGCATGTTCTGTCTAAAAAAATTACTGAATCTAAGTTGAAATAGACAAGTAATGATATATGATTGCACATTTGTGAATCAGAAACTTCTTCAATGCCACATTCAAGTTTTTGTTTCATGTTTCATGTTGTATTTTCATGAATCAATTACTTATTTTCAGATTGGGAACATTGGCAATTATTCAAAGAAGTATATACTGAAAACAATTTCAAATTTTGTGTATCCTGCCTCATTTCGAGCTCTGCACTTCACCATTTCCAAAAATAAAGCTGTATTTTTATCTAGAAACTGTCAGGAACTTCTCCTCAAAATATGCAGTGAAAAGTTTAGGATTGCTAATCCAGAGTGCCCTGAGACACCAGTAAGAATTCAACAAATTCTATAATGTTCATAGGATTCTATTTTATCATTTTCATTTCAGTTCAAGGTTATAATCCTAGCAAATTTCATATTATATGAAGAAGTTGAAGTAGAGGATAATTCACAGAGTATTATAGATGCAATAACAAAACGATTTAATAGTGAAACAGAAACCATGGATCTCAATGAATTCAGTGAGGATGAAGGTATGAAAAAACAATTGTCCAGCTCACTAGATTTTTTCTCCTTATTTAGCAGACAATGGAAAAAACATTCATTATACAGGATGAATGAGTTTTTTTTAGCACTGGAGAAGGAGTTCAACAGCTCAATGAAATCACAATTTCAGATTTTGTCAGATATTTTCCTAGAAAATCTTAGTGCTGTTTGGAATCCCAACATTTTGATGAAAAACCATCAAAACTTCATTTTCTGATCATTTTCTTTTCACTGTGTGATACATTTTTTTTTTTCAGATCTGATAGACTATTATCCACTATTTCAAATCAAAATTTTGTTGGCAGTCACATCCAAGGTAGCTGAATTTCTTCCCAAACATTTGAATTTACAGAAAAATTGTATCAGAGATATTTCTAATCTACATCCTTTGAAAGATTTCATTGAATCAATTGATCTATGTAATAATATGGTGAGTTAAAATAACTTTGGAATGTCTGCTTCTGCTTTGACCAATGAATTGATATGATTTCAGATAGAGGACATTTCTGCCCTAATGCCTTTGATAAACTTCAAAACATTGAAACATTTGAGTTTAAGTGGAAATCCGTTTTGTGAAAAATATTATAATTACAATTATGTATTGGATGTGAAAAGGTATTGCCAAAGTCTAGAGAAATTGGTGAGTATGTTTTATGTTTAACTACAATACTCCACTGGACTGAAAGATATAAATTTAACACATTCATCAATTACATTGTGTCCTTCATATATTATTTTATTGCATAAAATATATGGCTTTATTGAAAAAAAAAACGATCTTGTTTTAGTAGGATACTTTTATTTCCATTCTTTGTTGTGAACATTACATTGCATCTCATATAAATATAAATATATTTTATTAAGATTTGCAATGAAATAACATGAATCATCAGACAGATTCATATATGGTATGAGATTATTCATGGGTTATCAAATCTAAGTTATTGAAATAAACAACATATACAAAAATAATAATAATATGAAACAAAAATCTCATAGAAAGTACATTATAACATGATGAAGTAAATTATTGAATGAGAAATCATTCACTGAGGCTTGATTTTCTCTTTGTGCAACTTTTGATACCATCAGGATATTTATTGAGTTTTGAGATACCAAGTGTAGAATTAGCAGCATCAAGATAAAACAAGTCATATTGTCTAGTATGATGTTCATGGATTTGAGAATTCCTTACCATTATGAAGTTAGATTTGAGGTGTTTGTTGGTTATATAAAAAGAAATTTTGAGAGTATTGATCAGATAGTGTTCTTCCAAAGAAAATGTATTTGTTTCTTCATAAAGTTGATTTGATGGGGTGTCATATGGAATATACAGTACTTTTATGTTTTTTTAATCTATGCTTATATAGTACAGATATTTAGTTAAAATTATTCTTGGAACATGAACCTCAAATATTTATGAGATAGTTCATTTTACTAAGTATGTGAGAGTATAGAATGTTCAACTGTGATCTTCCACTTATGATCTTGATGACGTCAGTTGGTGCAGTTGCTACACTAATCACATTGTCATTTCACAAACTGTTTTTGAGTTGTTTATGAATCCTTTTACAACTATGCTCTGTGCTGAGCTATAAGCTATCCTACTATAAGATTCAGAAAATGGAGAAAGCAGCCATGTTCAAATTGCTAAAACCCCTAAAGCAAATTGAAATTAATCACATAGAGTTCAAAGAGTTTATAACTGAGTGAACATTCCATATCTTTTAGGATGGATTTGATATAACAACCCCAGTGTTCCAAAAAAACCTTTTTTGCTCAGATGATGCAATGGATCTAGCAAAAAACTTCTTGGAGCACTATTTCACAATATATGATTCTGGGAACAGACAAAATCTGATAGATATTTATGCCAAAGATGCCTTGTTTTCTGTAACAGCTAAAATTGTACCCAATCAAAGAAATTCGTCATCTACAAAGTAAGTGAAAATTTGTATCTATTTCTGTAATGAACAAGAAAATTTATTTCAATATTGCAAATGCAAACTACTTTATAATACATTAACATGCATTAACTATTCCAATAACAGAAATTTTGTTTGGAAGGTTTTAGATTTCAATCTGGATCAGTTTTTGAGATATTATCTAGAATTGAAAGTTTGATATTATTATTTAAAAAAATCATGTAGTGAGAACTAGGGCATCATCAGTTAAATATCTGGGAGTGCGCTTACATAAAAAACTAAACTTTAACCATCATACCCAGTCGATGAAAAAAAAGTGCATTGCAAGAGCTAAACATTTTCGAAGCATAACTTACAAGAATAAAGGAATTAGCAAAAGAACTGTAGCACATATTTACAAAACCATTTGCCGCCCAATTCTTGAGTGTGTTCACCCAATATACATAAACAAGAGGAAGACGGCACTGAACAATTTGGAAGTAGCAGAAAGAGTTAGCCTGAGAGCCATTACCAAAATCCGGCACCCTCAAAATCCCCTTCACCATCCATCGAACGAACTTCTATAAAGGCTGACCGGCTGACCAGGGTGCAACCAATTTTTATAACGTTGAAGTTTTCCAAAAACCCAAGACGGAAGTTTCCGGGAAACACACTATTGGAATGCTTAATCAATTCAGAAGACTGAAATTCCTTCAAAGTTCTTGCATCACAATAGACTTTTCTTCTTTTTTTCACACTATCAAATCTATTAATTCCATATATCTTGTACATACAATAATGATGAGTTTAAACTCAATGTATAATCACTGTGTAACACAGGCTGAAGGACCTCGGTCGGTGGCCTTTTGGGTATTCAATAAAGCTTAATTATTGTTATTATTTGAAAGTTTGAAATCTATGGCCAATCATCTATCATTCTGAATTTGGTGATAGAGTTATATTCATTATCATTATTATTTGATTCAGGTTAGAGCATTATGGGCTAAGAATACCATTCACGATATATGGGGCAACAGAAATAGTAAAACTCTTCAAAACGTTTCCGAAGACTTACCACGATCCGTACCCGTCTGTGTGCGATGTAACACTTTTGACGGTAAAATTGAACCTAAAAATATAATGAGGAAGGACAGAGCATTCACTCTTTGGAAAGGGCAGGTTCCTAGAAAAACAGGAGCACATCGAGAAAATCCACATAGATTTACTTATTTCATCATTGGTAATACTAGAAAATAGAGTTGAAAAAATGAGTACAAACCTCAAGACTTGAGTGAGACTTTCACTTTGATTTGATTCCATGTCTATGTCTAAAGTGACATAACCTCAACAATAGGAACCTACTCAGACTAGAGTCTCGAGATCATACCCGTGTGTTCACCGAACACGCCCGATCGTTCCCTAAGCGGTGGGGAAACGTAAACGGGCAGCAGTAACCAAAGCAGTAACTACGTTATGATTATTGGCGCGTGCCTGAATTATTTTGGAGTCAAATTTGTCAATTTAATGTACTTCGAAACGGAACACTTAACTAGTAGTTGTGCCTTCTTGTTTTACATATATTATAGGTAGACATCAAATCAATAAACATAGTGCTCTCGCCATCGGTATTTGCTGAACTTCGCTATGGGAAAAATGTTGAATAACTATATTGGGATGAAGAATGATCTATACAGGGTGTATCTAAATAACACCGAAATAATTCAAGGGATGATATAATAATATGATGAATAAAGGTCATATAAACATGTGTCCTAAACTTGCTTCGTTTTCGAGGTACAGGGTTACGTCCTGATTTCGAATCCGAAGTGATTTTCAACCTATCTTGCCTCCTAATATCATTTTCCGGAAATGTTGGTGGGTCCATGACCAGAGCAGTGTTTTTCACTGAAGATTACCTCACTTTTGTCATAGTTGGTATATATATATATCTATCGCTCCTTAAAATTGAACAGTTACGTTAGATATACGGGTTGATAGGTATTCCATTATAGAAGTGACATGCACACTGTTTATATTTTTAAATACATCCAGTGGGATTGAATTTCATTTTATGTTGAATATTAGAGTGTGTTTTTTATGTGATATATTTGTTTTGTTTATTTCAAATTCTGAAATCTGATCCACCCTGTATTTGTTTCAATAAAATGGCATCAGTAGATAGTAAATAGAATGTTAGGATAGGGACACATGTAAGCCATTTTGACAAATCAATATAGGTATTGTATAGTTTCGATACAAAAAAAAATCTCGATTTTTCACATTCTACGTATAGGTATACCTTGAGCTTGATGAACGAAATCATAGCTCAATTAGAAGAATCGAAAAATGTAATAAAATAAAAGGTGTTCCATTTTGAATAACAAAGCTGCTACTATAATACTAAGTACTATATAACTACTAATAATAATTTCTAGTGAAGCAGATGAACATTATCGAAAATAATTTGAATAAAACGAGCGTCCTCGCCAACAAAACATAAGCATATGATATGTACAAATAGGTTCATGATTTTCGATGAGTGGTTCGCTATTTACATGTAGGACTCGTCGTGACATAGCGAATTATTGCAAATCAAATCATCGCTTTCATTATCTGATAGGTCGCAGTAGATCACTTGATGCCTATCAAATGTTTCTTATTTATTCGAAGAAAAAAAATGTTGAAATGTGATCAAGAAAACTGTTGGTGGCCCACCCCGTACTACAAAAACAAAGACAGCATGAGAGAAGCTGCCTGCCCACATCATGACTGCCTGCTTACGTCTCGGTCTCCCCACCGCTTAGGTAACGATCGAGCGTGTTCGGTGAACACACGGGTATGATCTCGAGACTCTTGTACCTACTCAGTGATGTCATTTGAATACACATTCCTCTTTTCTGTTCAGGTGAAAAACTGCAAAACCAAGCTCACGTTGGAGTAAGCAAACAATAGTTTTTTTTATCTGTGTGGTTATTGTGTTGAAACTAGTGAGGAATTGTAAAAAAACTTCACAAATTATTTTCACAAAGTTCTCAAAAATACGATATGTTTCGCTAACACAGTTGAGATAGTGAGAGTGAGAAAAGAGAGAAAGTTAAGGGTAATGTTCACAGCGCAATCCATATATTTTTTGTTTGAAATGTTCTATTATATCGCATTTTGGTTGTGTCAGCTTTCCACGCTTTTACGCCCTGTTAGCAACTTGAGGGGCCTGGAAACTATAGCCGTAGATGATGAATCCTCTTTCCTTCCTTCTGTTTATAATAAAATATAATAAATAATATTATAAGGCCGCGGACATTTTGGAGCAGTGAAAATGACGAAAGCTATGATATGACGCTAGCGAAGTTATGAGATTGAAGGCACGTGATTTTGCAGACTCGTGATGTGTTTATTTCTTTGCTTCTCACTGACAGTGACCATCTTTATGCAGAAAATGCAGACCGGAAATGTATTGCTAAAAAAATGATATCAACAATATGAAACAAAACAGTACTTCATATCACTTGTGTCAGATCAATGGGTCAAGAATTTGTCCTGGATGACAGGTGGAATGTAGTAGTGGCTACATTGAACTAAACTTTCATTAATTTGTTAGATACCTACTCACTTAGTGCATATTGAATTAGTAATACATTATGATAGAATTCTGAAAAAATACATAATCTAACCTAACATATCGTGCAATAGATTACCGGGTCCATCGATATGAGACCTTGTATTTATTCAATGCTGGGCGAAATATAATATGTTGGGTCTCTTATACATATCCCTCTAGGAAGCAAGACGCAATTAGTTATCTCCACAAACTTTAATGTCAGAACTACTATGTTTCGGATTATCGTTAGTCCATCATCATCGGCAGAATAAAATGTTACATGAAATTTGTGGAAGTGAAAAAAAAAACGGCAAAGTTACATATTATAAAAAATATAAAACAGTAGGTAAACAGTAAAAGGGGGGCAAATTGCCCACAGTTTTAAAGGGGTGTTACGGGGGGGGGGGTACAACGACCTAGTCATTCAGGAATATAGTAGAAAGAAAAATAATAGAAAAATATATACGTATATGTATATTCATGACCCATAGTAGTGTCGAAGCTCCCCAACATGAATTAATGGATAAAGGGTAATCTCATAGCTCTTATTTCTCTTGTCGCCGCTTCAACATGTTCATGGCCTAAGACTTGCTAATGAAACCAACCTATAATAGTAGGAGAGCCGGCTGAAAATTTCAACTGTCATCTGATACCGAAATGATATACAGAGAAGTGCACAAAAAACGGCCAGGTTAGGTTTGTTACTTTTGAATTATTCTAGATAGGGTTTTGAAAATTGTTGGGTAGCAAGTATACCAAACTGCTCATTAATTGATGAAACAATTTTTTTTTCTATCAATTCCAGTTTCACCGGAAACGACCCCAACTCTTGATTTTTAAATGGGACATTGTATTCCGTAATATAATAATATAATAATATACATAGAACTTTACTTATACACACATATATTGTACATATTTTAACAAGAAAAATAAATGTATTGAATCGGTTAGGGACTATCATGACGAATTCAACGATACCGGGTTTGATAGGGTTATTTCAAACAATTACAAAGACATTTGCGTTCGAAGTATCCATGCTCAATGGGTGTGACTTCGCAATATCAAAACTTCTTTCTCTGTCACACTCATTGAGCATATGGAAACTCAGAACGCGAATATCTGGGTAATCGTTTGAAATAACCCTTTTAAACCCGGTATCTATGAATTCATTATGACAATCCCTAACCGATTATGGAATATAATACAGGTTGCACCTTTCAAAAAACAAAAGTTGGAGTCGTTTCCAGTAAAACCGGAAGTGATAGAACAAAAATTGTTTTGTAAATAATTGAGAAATTGGGTATACTAGCTGCCCACCAATTTTCGAAACCCTATCTCGAATAATTCAAAAGTTACAGTCCTGGTCGTTTTTTGTGCACTTCTTTGTATGTCCCGAAGGCACGAGTAAAATGATTGAAAATGGTAATGGGCTTATATCACAAAAAAATTTCATTTCATAATTCGATAGAACTCGCCCAAACTAGCTCACCACCGCAAAGCGTTTCTTGCTGTGAGCTCCCTACGTTTTATAAAAAATAATTGAAATCCCCGATTTTTCGGACCTCTGAAAACGAGGCGATGATGTGACGTCAAAACCCTAATACTGAAGCAAGACTATTCCAGACAGAGATGAATGATACATGATTTCTGACAGAGTGAATTAGCGCGAGATCACAGTTGAAAGAACTAATATATCAGTTGCCTCAGTCTCCGTCAGGCGTTTGGTATTTTCTTTTAACTATGGCGAGATGAGATTTTTACGTCATAAGAGGGTCCGTTTTCAGAAGGTACTTATTTATGTCCAAAAATAAAATATTCCAGTCAATTTTTCGATCGAATTATGTCGTCAATCATTATTTAGGTATGAAAGGATCATTATAAACATGGTTTGAGTTAAAAGCTCTACTAAGGTGTACACGCCCATTTCCTGTGCATTAATTTTCAGTCAATTTCGTGATATGATAACGAGATGAGAATTACGGCATCCGATACCAATTGAATGGTAGATCTCGAAAATTAACCTATGCCACCCCTTAATCTGAGTCAAATCCACGGCATAGCGATTCATCTGCTGCCATTATTCCGGACATACTTTGGTCGTGTAATAAGAAGTGGAAACAAAAACCAAATAAAAGAGGATAATGTCTACTTTGTGATCACCCAAACGTGCCGCAATTCAGACTGATCAAAGTCGGCGGCAGGTCATCAATATTTTCGAAAGATAATATCCGATGGACCCCCGTTCAAAACTCAATATGTGGATTTGAATTCTTGTATTGCCAACACCACATGAGTTTTACACTGGTCCCTCGGATATTATCTTTCGATTGGGGCGAAATTTTCTCGGACACATTGACGCTCTGCCACTAACTTTGATTAGTTTGAATCGCGACACGTTCGGATATTCGCCAAGGGGACATTATTTCCTTTTATTTGCTTTCTGTTTCAACTCGTTATCACATGACGGGAGTTTGGCTGCAATAACGACAGCGAATAAATCGCTGTGCCGGTGATTTGACCATTGATTTCGTATCGGATGGCATAATTATTTTCTCGTTATCTAAACCGCAGTGGAAAGTGCTATTTTTCAATCATTCTGCTCAGGATATTGATTGGCACAGGTTTTTATAATGCCTTCGGGACATACAGGGTGTCCAGAGATAAAACCGACCAAATTCATGGGGTTATAAGAACTGCCAATATGATTGCAAAATACCATGTACAAATATCAAAAACCGCTTCGTTACTGACATACAGAGTGATTTTTATATTTTGGCAAGAATTCAATCTGCCATATCAAATACAGAGATTATCTGATTGGATTCAGATTTGGTAGATTAATTAAACTCGAAAGCTTCAACAAGTAGCTTTCTGAAGGAAACCAATACCAGGGCCGGAATATATTTGTTTTATGCTGAGTTATTGTGAGAATAACTCGCCCTGTATAATTATTATCAAAAATCTGAGGTCATATTATGAATCTACGGGAAAAATACTATAGGAACTCGTTGACAAAGTTTCTGGTACAATTTCAGTTATTCCGTAATACATTATTATTTTAACTTTGTTCATTAATTGTTAGCTGAAATATCATCAGAAATGAAAATATGATGAATATTTACGATACCAAGACATAATTCTTGTTGTTCTCTTTGATTATTTCGTAAAAATGTTTTATAAACAAGTTTCGTGACCTAAAAAAAACAAAGAATATATTCGTATCAGGAGCGGTATTTTTTCATGATCGTATAAGTACAGGGTGTCCCTAAAACGTCCCTACAATCCACCATCTCTACCCAATCGGGTCATCCCTGTATTCAATATAGCAGATTGATTTTTTGTCAAAATCCAGAAATCACTGTATGTCAATAACGAAGAGTTTTTGAACATTTTTGCATAGCATTTTGTAATCATATTGGCAGGCCCTATCACCCCATATGTTTTGTCGGTTTCATCTCTGGACACCCTGTACTTCTAATGGAAACAGCTCTGAAATTTGCTGGAGCGAGAGATATATCAAAAATGTACTCTTTGACCAAGCGGGGTCATCTTCAGTGATGTACACTGCTCGTCAACAGCCGATATAATAATCAATATTTATAATAATTCAATTGATTGGCAGTCAATTCATTAATTAAATCCATTCACTTATTTCACTGCCGTCTGACGCATTATTATCGGTAACGATTTTCTTCATACTACTAACGGAGTTATTCATTCATAATTCATTTTAATGAAACCCGTCATGATTCCTGATCCATTGGCTCAATTTCAGCAGTGTATCATTGAAGATGAATTTCTTGCTCCTAAAAATGTCAGTCTCCTACATCATTAATAACTTGAGATAATGGGGTTCTTCCATGGAAAGTGAGACAAAATTTATTATATCAGAACAGAAAATTATCCAGAAGAAATATGAGTAGTTAGTGAATTAGACGTTCTGTTTTCTGTTCTCGAATCCGAATTGATTTCCAACCTATCTTGTCTGCTAATGTGATTTACCGGACATGTGGGGGGTTACATGGCTGCTAGCGAGCAGTGTATATCACAAGTTGCCAACCTAAAAACCTCTACCACTGTAGAAGCAATATTATGGAAGTTTAATAACTCAAATAGGTTTATTTTTGGGAAATCTGGTTGCAGGAGTCAAGTCAGATTTCTAATGAAAGTTATTCAGAAGAAAAATCAGTTTTTGTGAACTTCACATCTGACTGGTTGAAAGTCGTGTTGGTGCATCTGCGGTACGTCAATGTCAATACTGAAATGTCCATAGTTCCAATAGTAGAGTCAGTAGTGTCACGAGTAAAAAATGATATATTATATCGATGAATCACTATATCAGTAAGTTCGAATCACGTTCGAACTTTGAATAATGATCAAGAAACTCTCATGAGGAACTTGCAAACCAAAAAGTTATCTGGTCTGGGGCTACTCTCGACTCGTCGTAATGCGGTAATCAACATAACATTGTTATTAGGTCTTTATATTCATTGTTTTTCATTTATATATCCTCACTACCTCACTAATATCTCATGCTATATATAAATTTATTTATTTTATTTATTTATTTATTGAAAATGTTACTTCCAGTCAGAATCAAGTTCTGGTATAAGGAAGTATAGTTAACAATAATACCTAAAACTACACAATTATAATAAACTGATGAATAATAAAATATTTGAAAACATTAATTATTAAATTTTGACAAATCATTTCATATTGCTGAGCAAAAATCAATTTGAATATGAATCAAAAGTAAGTCATCTATTTCGTTCAGAAATGATAAATTTTTTAAGATGGTATTTGATTGTATTTCTGCAATTTTTTATATTATCTGGTAATTTGTTATATTCCAAGAGAGCAGCGTGGGTGAATCTTTTTTGGCCTATAGAAGTATTAGCGATATCAAGATGAAATAAACCATGTTGTCTAGTTTGATAATTATGAATTTCATTGTTTCGTGTTAAAATAAAATTAGATTTCAATCTATTGTGATGTTCGAATAGTCTTGTGATTTCAGCTACCATTAAAATATCTGTGTCTTATTATTTGAATAAAGGTATGTTATTTTTATATTGTTGTATTCCGACATTTGTGATATGTATCTCTATCACTGGAAACTTTGACCATTTTCCATTCTAGCCGTGTAAGATTTGAAAGTATTCATTGGATGATTTCTTTTTCTAATTGTTATTTATGTACTAGGACAATGCTTATTAATACATATAGATATCGACTGCGAGTTCTTAGTTTCCACACAGTTATGGTTTCATCCACTCAGACACTTCATTGGGTTATTTTTCATTTCAGGAAAAGGTTGAAACTTTATTATTTCATTCTTACGAAGCACTCAAATGAACTATATTCCCACTTCCTACTGCAACGATCGAACTTCGTGACCAAAGAATGATATTACAGTATGAGAGCCGGTGAATCAACATAATTTTCAACTTCTCTTAGTGAACTGAGTAGACTGCTACAATCAGATTTCATCGAAATAAAGACATTTGAGTAATGAAACTCCCATAATGTTGCTTCGACATTGGTAGATGTTTTTAGGTTGGCAACTTGGAGCAAAGTCCCCTATTGATCATTGACTGTATCTTAGGAATATTTCTTGCTCCTGAAGATTTCAGAATCTTTAACTCGATAATTACGTAAGTTGGACAAAAATGAATTTCTCAGAACTGAAAATTTTTGAGGAAAAATATGAATAGTTCGTGAATAGGGCGTCCTGTTTTCGAATCAGAAGTGATTTTAACCTATTTTGCCTCCTTATGTCATTTTCCGGATATTGGAGATGACCCCACTTGGACATAGGGCTCGCTCCAGCAAATTTCAGAACCTCACCTACCGATTACGTAAGATACAAGGGTGTTTCCATTAGAAGTGAGACACACTGTATATCATTTCGTTATCAGATGAGGGTCGCAATTTGTAGCCGGCTCTTGGACTATAAAGCCAGTTTTCAGGACACTCACGCTTCGTTGGTCGTCGGCGGCATCTTCAAAGAATTACAACAACTGCTGTCTTTCACCAGACACTTCATTTTCAAACGTTCCGGCAACACGTTCCACATCATAAACGAACAGTTGCATGTGAGTAACGCACTAGATTTCCAAACAGGCTGGAGTTTCGGTTTTCCTATGCATCTGGCATATAGCGGGAACCCTTTGCCGTATTTCCAGGAACAGTATAGGCAGCTGGAAGAGACCGTTCATGAGATAACCACGATGAATTACGAGTATTCGCAGAAGTAAGTGATCTATGCCAAAAGCTCGGACTGAATAATAACTATAGACTCCGCGATTAATTCGTGAATCACGTGAAAGTAGGTTCCAACAATGGGCCTTTCCAGTCATGTATAGAAAAAGTATATCTCGAAATATATGGCTCTGGATTACCCGAAATAGTAATTTTCCTAACAAGTGCGGAAAGTGATTCTTTCCCTCACGAGACTGCCGTTGACACGAACGACGCGAAGCGGAGTTTGGGCAAGCAGTCGAGTGCGCTTGTAGAAAATTATTTTCTTTAAAATTGTTTGTTCATCAATTCATCATATACAAAATTATTGAAAACGCCAAAACTACGAATTCAAATGATCAGACACGACAGCGAAACTTGTGACGTCAGTGTGCGAGCAATTTGGATTTGGTAGAACCTTCACGCGGGTGCCAATAGAATGCACAATGGAGTTGACCAAAGTTGCCAGTTTGGACAGAAAGCTATGATAAGTCGGATATTAATTTCTCGATTTTTCATTTCAGCAAATAATGCAGATGCTGCTACATAACTCAACTAATATCAACTATCCTGAAAATTCGTGATACTGAAAAATTAAATAAATAATAAATAAATAAATAAATTTATTAAATCCTTCATCATCAAAAAAATGATATAGGATACGTCAGACAACAGATGATACACAAACATTTTGAACATAAATTAGTAACATTACAGTTATACACCAAAAGTAGATATAAAATGAATATAAATAAAATAAAGAAATTGGTCCTAAATCCTAATTTATTTATTTATTTATTTCAGTTATTGCATTACATTCTTTTCTTCATTGATACATTTCATACAAATAATATATAAAGTATAATTAATTTTCTAGTAGGAATGACATGAATGATCAGACAGTAATTCCTGGTATAAGATCATTCATGAAGTATTATCGACTGTTGTATAATTGAAATTACAAATAGTGAACAAAACTTACATATCATTAAGATACAGTCATATTATAGTGAACGAGAAGGGGAAAAATAAAAACAGTGAAAAAAAAAAAAAAAAAAAAAAAAAAAAAAAGAAAAAAGGAAATTCATGGTCTTTCAGCTTTGATCATTCCTTTGCATATAAATATATTTCTTAACTTTATTTTTGAATTGCATAATATTTGGGCTGTTTTTGATATCATCTGGTAATTTATTGAATTTCGAAATCGCCTCATGTGTAAACTTTTTTTGCCCAAGTTTAGAATTTGCAGCTTCAAGATGAAACAAGTTATATTGTCTAGTGTGATGATCATGAATTTCAGAATTCCTGATTAATATAAAATTTGATTTAAGCTTTTTGTTGATGATATAATAGGAAATTTTGAGAGTATTGATTAAAAAGTGCTCTTCCAAAGAAAATGTGTTTGTTTCCTTATACAGTTGATTCGTTGGAGTGTCATATGGAAGACGATACAATACTTTCAATGCCTTTTTATATAGAACAGAAATTTTGTTGAAACTATTTTTGGAACAAGATCCCCAAACATTAATGAGATAGTTAATTCGACTGAGTATATGTGAATAGAGAATGATATTTGATGTATATGTACTAAGTTTAGGACATCTTCTCAAAGCACCAATAATGGGAGATACTTTTCCTATGAGGATGTCAATATGCTTTCCCCATGTTAATTTCTCATCAATCCAAATACCAAGGTATTTGGTATGGGCAGTTTGTTTCAAACGTTCATTTTTTATTCTGATATTCAGATCAATATTTTGTTTATTTCTTTGACGAAAAATCATATATTGAGTCTTATTAGAATTGAGAGAAAGAAGATTGGAATAAAGCCATTTCTCAATTTTTTTCAAGTCCTCATTTATGATATGTTCTAGAACTACTGGGTTTTTATTCTCATATAGAAGCACTGTATCGTCTGCATATATGGTATAGTTTCCTATCAAATTCATTCTTTCAATATTTTGAATGTATAATAGATAAAGAATTGGACCCAACACTGATCCTTGAGGAACCCCTTTGTTTAAATATAGTATTTTAGACTCACAGTTATTAATTTTAGTTATAATCGTTCTATTTTCAAGATATGATTTCAAGAGATCGTGTCCAATTCCTCTGATTCCCATTGAAGCAAGGTTTTTCAGAAGTATATTGTGGTCAACTGTATCAAAAGCCTTTTTTAGATCCATGAAAATCGCTACTACATAATTTCCTTTGTCAAGTCTGTCCTGAATGAAATTGATTACTTGTAGCACAGCAGATTGTGTACCACTGTTTTCTTGAAATCCGAATTGGTTCAAATCGAATCCATATTTTTTATTGATAAAATCTACAATTCTTTTTTTGAGAATTTTTTCTAGAATTTTGGAGAAAATACTTAATAATGCTATTGGCCTATAATTTACTGGATTTTGAGCATCACCACTTTTATATATAGCCCGTAAAGAGGTATTTTTCAATTCATCTGGAAAAATACCTGTTGTGAAAGATATATTGATTAATTTTGTTAGTGGTTTGGCCAAAATATTTTTCAACTCTATTATATCTCGTGTAATCAAACCTTCTGGATCAGGACATTTTTTTTTAAGAGTGCTAATTGTATTTATTATTTCATATTCATCAGTGGGAATCAGAAGTATTGTTGAATCATTGTAACGTGGTGCAATATTGTCAGTAGTCATATAATTGTAGAATTGTTTCAATTCATTAATGACTAAGATACTCATCAGTACTGTAGAAACAACCTTTAATCAAAAATTCTTTCAGTTCTGCCTTGAAAATATTTTGACTACTTCGGTTTTTTATATCATCCGGAAGATGATTGAACAATTTTGCTCCCACATATGACGGACTGTTCTCATAGAGACGAGTTGTCTGTTTTTGGAGCAGTATCAGTTCACCATGCCTGGTAGGGTATGCATGAAAATCACAATTTCGGTTGTAGTCATGGATATTTGTTTTGAATAATAGAATGCAATTGTGTATATAAATGCATGAAATGCACATGATTTTATTTTGAATGAAGTATTATCTACATGATTCTCTGATAACCCTTTTCTGAGAAATGCATATTTTATTTAGTTTTGTGCATCAGCCCCACACAGCAATGTTGTAAGAAATATGGGAGTATACAATTGCAAACTATACATTCAAGAGCTGGGCCTTACTGAATGTTGACTTCAACTGTCTAATTGCATAATATCCAGTGTTTACTTTCTTGGTAACTTGATTCATAGTCGAATCGCATAATTAGTTAGATATGGTAGATTTCTGTTGGTGAATCATTCAAAATTATAAGTGAAATCTCATTTTGTATTGAATTACACTGCAGATATTCATGGCATTCAGTTTCAAATCCCTTCCAGTAAAGTACTTTTAAGTTTAGTTACTCACATTTATGTATATGTACCTACCTATACTTACCATTAGGAAAGGAAAAAATTCTGAATCAATCAATACTAAATTGCTTAATTGGATCTATTTCTATTGATTTTAGTACAACCATCAATGCCTTCCTGTCAATAATATTGAGAAATGAGAACAGTGAAGTTATGCAGGTATTTTTAACTCGGCAATATTCTGTTAACGCTTGTGTCATAGTTGACAGATTAGCAATACATTTTTTCGGGAATGAGTACTCGAAATTTAGTAAAACTGTTCGATTTGTCGATTATAACAATTAGTCAACAAAATTTTAACATCAGAACCAAAACCAAACTGAGTATATAAAAAGTGTCACGCTGTTAGATGCCTGCATCGCATTTTATCCTAGTTAATCTCGAAACTAATGAATGTGATCAGCAGTCAGTGAATTACCAATCACATTTTCAATATCAAATGATTCCTTTGTTGTTTGGTATTTTCGATAAATATGTGGTAGGGAGAACGTTTTTGACTTCCCTTCATAAGATTTTAGGGAAAAGCTCAAGACAAGATAAAGACAAAGATCTTGCGAGTCAAATTTAACGATACTGGAAAGGCCCATTCTAAACGCCAAATTTCATAGAATTCATTGACATCCATAAAATATCGCCATACTAAAAGTTGCATCATAACTGTCATGTTATCATTCAATATTTCATGCATTTAAAAAAAAATCGCTAACCTTTCTACGGTGTTCCAATGATGTCAAAGTGTTAGTGAGAGTGGCATCACCCACCAGGAGAATGTCCCTTTTCTGGATGGAATCTAAGAGCATCAGAGTATTTGGGTGCTGAACCCCACATGCAAAAACAGTATTCTAGAACATGTCGTATATGTGCTTTGTAAATCATGAGAAGCTGTTGAGGTGTAAAGAGGAGGAGATGTGGGAACGTCTGTGCCACCCGAAGTGGTGAATATACCAGGACTTTAATAGGGCCAATTGTATCGCTGAGTTTTGAACATCGTTATTTTGCAACTTTTGCGATTTTGCCTATTTTCATGAGTTCTACACCCTTTTAATAAAATGCCTCACTTTTGAGGACAACCTGTATAATCGGCACAGAACCCAAAACATTATTTACACTTTATTTGTATTCACTTTACATAGAAGTATAGAGAAAATAATGTAAGTGGCAAAAAATTTCGGCAGATGTATTTTATGTGAAAATAATGGAAACATACTGGTGGTATATCAGAAGTGAAGATGTGAGATGCTTCATTTTCAGGACCTATAATAGGTTTCTTCGTTGAACACAATATGAATGAGGTAAGAGATGATACAAAATAATCATATCCGTATCAAAAAGTTGATGAAAATTACTAATGTTTGGATGTTTCTCGAACTGGCTTACCTAACTCAAAAGATTTCACTCTTGATGATTATTATCAAACATCATTTGTTTATATTTACTGTTTTTTTGTTCTAAAATACAGGGTGATCTATGTAACCGTGTGAAAAAAGTTCTAGACCAAACCGAGTAAATGTTTGATATTTATCCAAGGGTATGTTATACGGTCGCCTTGAGTGATGAAATGCTTAACATCACAAATAGGGAAACATATTTTTTCTAGAAATGTTTTCTTCAATTCAACATCATCTACCACTGGAATATGCTTCCTATTTTTATATAGATCACCCTGTATTCGTTATAACAATTGAACAATAATTTCTCATTATGGCTGTACTTTTCACTTAACAAGTTACCACTTTACATCAGAGAACAATCTCTTGTCATGGTGGACGAAACTGGAAATGGAAGGTGATTTTGAAATGAATATGTAGAAAAGGGGTATTGCCCATACTTTTCAATTTAATTCCTCATTTTTCTCCTTATGTTAATATTCTATACTGCATATCGAGCTTTATTCAGATTATTATTAGTATTTATTTTGATACCTGTATACCAACTGAAGGAACTGCAGCAAGAGGAATACAATTCAAGTCCATTATTTGCCAAATGTTCATGTATGTGTATTCACTTTTTGACAAAATGACTTCCAGATATCTGGATTACTGCCAGTATGACCTGAAGAAAACTCTGGATCTCTTTTCGACGTTACACGTACGCGGTGACGTTCCTGAAAATGCTTTCACACCAGAAAGGTAAGTTCCATAAATATAAAAAAACAAGATAAAAATAATTTCTAACATTCTTCATGTAGAGAATACAAATAATTCATTCTGATTATTTGTGTATAATATACTCCATTTTCAGATAATGCTAGTATTGCACCAAATCAGTTTCAAAGGAAAAAACAATAATTGTAAAAAACATATTTGTCTTGCTGATACGTTTTCTCGACTGTGCAATATCGCCCAATGAATGGAAATTAATAAAAACGGTTTTTTTTCAGTGCTGCGTCCAAACAACTCCAAAAATCAGTCCCACGTAAGTACTACAGGGTCTCTATATCGTGGAATCATAGTGACCGTTGAAATATTTCATTGATTTGCCCCTTTCCACTCATGGAAATCGATCTATAACACATTCAGTTCATTCAGTGCCTGTAAACAACATAAGCTGAGAGCAGTGAGCAGTACTATTCTAACAGCCACTAGGATGCTACGATCATAGATTATAGAAACCCTGTACATTGCATTGATTCTCGCTATGACTGTCTCCGTCTCGTCCCATAGCCTACCCAGAGAGAATCAGGAAGATGGCCTACAAGAAGCACAAGAGCATCAACCTCAAGACTATCTGGGAGATCCTCCAAAGTGAGAGAACTCGAGATGCATCTGACAGTCCACCTACAACTGACCCTACCATCCAGAAGATATATCGAAACGTCATCATCCCCACCATTGGCGATGGCTTCAGTGCGCCTACCAAATCTCTTCTACCCCTACAAGCTCCCATTGAAGACAAAAATATCTCGCAGAAAGCCCCTATCAAGCCGATCTCCTTCAACATTCCCGCTGTCGCCAATCCCGCAAAGATCAAACCAACCCAGATGGTCAAGCCTGCAACCAAAGCCAATGTGGATCCCTTGGTTGAGCTAGCAGAAAAGATGGCCAAGTACAAGGAAATAGCAGCGAAAAAAGCAGCCGAGCTCAGCAAGATTCCACTTCCCAGCAGTGGCCCAAGTCGGGTCAATCAGACGGCGGCTTCTGTTCCTTCCATGGTGCCCCCACCTCCAAGCATCGTACCAGCTACAGCCCAGCTCAGCCAGATCCCAGGTGCTGCTATCCATAGCAACCTTTTGAATCCAGTCCCAGCTCCTCTTTTCACCCCAGCTACAACGATGGAACAGCATTTGGTGCCAAGCCATAGATTGCCACCTCCTTTGATGCCTGCACAGTACCAGATGCACTCGAACTTCCCCATGCAGTATCAGGTTCCTATGCAGCATCAGCTTCCTGTGCCCTATAATCCGAATACACATGTCCTGGTGCCGCAAGATTCGGTTCAAGGTCGCCCCAATTTGCAGAGCGTGCCCAGAGCTGTTTTCCCAATATCAGGGAATGTGCAGCCCAACTACCAGAACGCTTTTCAAACTCCAAACCCCACAATGGTGCCCAATGTTCCGAGGCCAAGTGGACTTCCCATGGTGCCTAATCTAGGTGGCATGGTTCCGCAGCCTGGGTTCCCTGTTCCAAGGTTTCCGGTGGTGCAAAGTCCAGTTGTCCCACAGCTGAATCAGCCGAGGGTTTCGGTTCCAACTGCGTTTTCGATGGTGCCAAGTCCAGTTGTTTCGCGGCCGAGGGTTACGGTTCCAAGGCCTACGCTGTTGCTTGATCAGACTCTCGTCACGAAGCCAGTTTCATCGTCTCAAGTTGCGTCGAATGTGCAGCCGTCAGGTGAGTCAATTTGGATGGATGGCCTAAAAAATGGTTAATTTCCAGCTTGAGGTTGGCACCAATTTTGATGAATGTTACTGTTTGGTGGTACATTGGAGATAATAGTGATATTCTTTTGTTCTGAATCAGTTGGAATATTCCACTAGAACCCTCGATTATTTACAGTAATAAGATGAAACATGCTTGTGAGAGCAATGAAGCCAGAAATTCTATTCGGTAGGTGGCGGTATCTATGATTCTCAGGTTAGGTGCAAGTCATATCGTTGAAACAGTGTCGAAATCGGTTAATACTCACCGATCTATGAACAACAAATGTAAGAACAATAGGCGAGTGGACTTATATTCTTTTATTTCTCAAATAGAATTATCACTCAGATACCTTTCAATGTCATATTTCAATTTCTCGGTCAATTTTAAGGTGCTAATATCAATAATGCCACGGTAAGTTTTAAACGGCTAGAAATTTACCGCCAGTATAAACTGACGTCAAGATTTCGTCAAGTAGGGGCTGACCATAGCATAATTCCTATGTGCTGAAATACGATTGTTAACTTCAAAAATATTAGTAATTCAATAATTCATAAATTCTCAATTATTCATTGGTAATATTCCTAATTAGCAATGAACAATCAATAGTTTCAATATTTTCCTTCATGTGTTGTGGCTTATTGCTTATAATAAATTTGTGTAAATAATAATTATATTGATTCACACTAGAGGATATTTGAACCGGTAAACGTGACAACACAGCGCACGAATTGTGGGCGTGGTCGTGTCAGTTCTGAGCATTCACCACAATGTTGCCAAGTCTCCAATATGATATTTTGTTATGGAATATAAGAAATATTTGGACTGCTCTGGTTGCTCTAAAAAGTCAAGAATGAACTACACTAGCATGGCTTCTTCCTATTTTGTTTTATTTAACGACATTATTCTGACATATTTTTGATAATTTGATTATAATTGATAACTTGGCAACCTTGCTTCATAAGTGGGAATGGAAGATCATCTAACCAATAACGGATCAGCATAAAAACTGACGTCACCATTTATTCGACGAGCTCTGAACGATCAACAAGCGAGCATTAAAATTAGTTGCGGATATTATATTCGTTTTTCCACCAATAGCTATTGAACCTACCATTGTTTACTCCTTTTTCAAGGTATAAACTGACACTCAACCTCAAAAAATGAAATAGTTTTAGTATTGCTACATTTAGATCTTCTAAGAATCAGTTTTGTCTTTTCACTTGAATTTTGTATCCATAGGGAATCGACTGTTGACATCTGAATATTGGTTGCGCAGAAGACTAAAACGTCAATGTAATTCATGGTCAAGTCAATAAATAGCAAAAAATCTCAAGGGTGTTCCCATGCAGTAATAAATTTGCGCATTCGAAGTGTCCACCTGAGCCCTAGCTGATCTCGTGGTATGCGCATGTTCAATTTAGGGTAACACTGAGAACTAGCATTGCTCTTCAATTTGTTAAAGAGTTTTAGTACTTGGATGGGTGACCATTCAAAGAAACTTCGCGTAACCCAAAACAGCTGCTGTAGGGAAATGATACATCATAGCTTAAAGCTACTATACCAACGTACATAAAATATGGTAAGCCAAGCTGTTCCAGAAAATCTCTGGTGTCAAATGTTCAAAGCCGTCTGAACGAACAAACGAATTTGTATTGGAAACAGAGTTTGTGGGATTCATTATTTCTGTTTCTATTTCGATCGATATTACTCGAAAATTGGTTGGAATAATGCTTCTATGACAGAATTCGAATTCCTGGAATACTCAATGAATTTACATTGATAATCTATGAACGAAAATAGTAACAACATCAACATCTTCACATCATCTTTTGACGTTTTTCTAGAGCCACCTTTAGCTATATAGAACCTACCATTATTCACTCCTTTTCAAGGCGTGAAGTGTGTTTATTACTACCAAGGTAGTTTTCGTCATTTTAGGAACCACCAGTTAATAAAGACATAGCCACCTCTGATATAATCAATCCGAATTCACTGTTCTTAACTCTAATGCGATATTCGCAGAAGTGGCACTCGAATCTAGTAGGTATTCATCAATAAGGACTCGTCATATAATCAGAATTGAAAAGAAGTGCTTTCATAGTGCCAATAGGTCTATATTTCAGTTTCACGAAACTATAAGGATTTAAGTAATATGTCGCTAGGGGGGAAAAAATTTGATATACACCTTGGTAGTGAAGAATTATTACCACGGGACCCTATTCTTCTCGGCTGAAGCCTCGGAATATAATCATGGTCTCTGGGTAATATTGATATTCATTACGACCTTGGTGTATAATAACTATTCTCCTCTGTATATCAAACTATAACTCATCTAAAATGGTGTCCTCACAATTGTTTTATTCAACATTCATTCTGAATATTTCATCTTACTGTATCTGTTTTTTTTTTCAATGATTTACGGACTTGTTGACGTGTTTTTGTTGCTATGTTACAATATATTGATGGTGCTGTTATAGGAGCGAATTTCCTGGTGAAAAAACAGTGTATGGCGATGATTTTATAAAAAATAGGTAAGTATTAATCCATTTTTCACAATATTTTGGAATTTGGTTCCACCATGTTGAAGATTGAAGAATTCCCTGCAGGAAGAAGGATAGGGAAACGAACAGCATGCCTAGAATGATTTCTTGTTCATTGTTATCGATACTTTGAATAAAACGTTCTACCTATCGATTTTGTGGTTTTATTTGATTTGGTGGAAATAAGAAATAGATACAAAAAAGAACTGAATGGCTCAAACTTCGTTAAAAGGTTCAAATGTGGGGATTGTTGAACTGATAGTAAGTGAGTGCAATCACGTCAAATTTTTTAGAAATAATTTCTTCTTGTCATCCTACTGACAGTAATTTTTTATGTATCGGTCACCAAATATGGCTTATGGAGTTAGTAACAGTGCCTGCTCGGAACACATATGGGCTGATGAAAACCTTTTCATATGTCGATAGCCAAGTGGCTAATTTCACAAAAAAAATATATTTCATAATCCGATAGAACTCACCCAAACTAGCTCACCACCGCAAACCGTTTCTTGCTGTGAGCTCCCTACGTTTTATAAAAAAATATTGAAATCCCCGATTTTTCGGACCTCTGAAAACGAGGCGATGATGTGACGTCAAAACCCTAACACTGAAACAAGACTATTCCAGACATGATATCTGACAGAGTGAATTAGCGCGAGATCACAGTTGAAAGAATTAATATATCAGTTGCCGCAGTCTCCGTCGGGCGTTTGGTATTTACTTTCAACTATGGCGAGATGAGGTTTCTACGTCATAAGAGGGTCCGTTTTCAGAAGGTTCTATTATTTATGTCCAAAAATAAAATATTCCAGCTAATTTTTCGATCGAATTATGTCGTCAATCATTATGTATAAAAGGGTTATTATAAACATGGTTTGAGTTAGAAGTTCTACTAAGCTGTACACGCCCATTGGTACATCTCAGTAACAAAGTACATACATATACTACTAGAACTACTGTAACATACAAAATGAAAAAAATGCCTATTTTATTGGTAACGTTAATAGGTCAAATGTATAGAAAAATATCCAGAAGTTTTAACGCTCCTTAATGTATTTGTTTGTAACATTACTTTTCAAATTCTACTTCTTGAAAGTATTGGTGTGTTATTTTTTAGGTATGTTACATAACAAAGAAAGCCATAAAGATCTCAGTGTAAGTATTATTTCTACATAGTTACAGAATGAAGGGGATATAAAATTGATATTCATGTTATTATGTGATTTCAAGAAGAAGAATGAAAACCTATCAGCCGATCCCAACTCGAAAGAATCTTCTGAAGAAAATAAGCGGAATTTCAAAGCAGGATTTCAAGTACCATCCGAAGTTCAACATCGATTTGAACAAAAGTATGATGAAGCACCTTCAAAAGGTATCTCATGTTATTTATCTTGGGAAAATCATAGAGTTAGTTTCTTCTTGTATGTTGATCAGAAGAAATTGACTTGAGGTTAGTCGAACCAATTTCAGTAGTTATTGTTTTCAATTATTCAAATTCAAGAAGTATGTGTAGTGAAAATATTCTCCATCAAACATTTTTCAAATAAGGTGTCACTGATTATCGATCGAATGTCTCTTTCAGGTTTTCTAGTAGTGAAATTTCGATCACAGTAACATTTTGTGGCAAATCATCTGATATGTTTTCACTACAAAAATATTGACTATCAATCATTTTATTTATAGAAGCAAGAAGAGGAAATTAAAAGAATTGAGAAAAATGATTGCTAATAATTATTCATATTTTATTTTACTTTTCAGATTCAGTGAATAATGCGATCCCTATGAAGCGAAGAGGTCGCCTTACTCGTGTAAGTTTGCAATTTGTTAGGTTCTGAAATATTCGTCAACATTCCCATTCCAAGTTTTCATTCATGTTATGCTTTTCAGTTATTGTTTTGGATATCTTATATTTTATATATTTTCTTTGTATATCCTCATTATAAACCAATGTTTTTCGAGAGTAATATTAACACAATTAATTTCCCAACAAAAAAAGATCGGAACAGAAACTAGGATGAAATATTGTTCACATTTGATATACAGGTCGTCCCAAAATTGCTGGGACACAGAGCTACGTGTAAAAGAGGTCAAAATAAGTTGATAGGACCCAATTTATTTATATACCAAATTGTACCGTTTGTCCGTGAGAAGAGTTCACAAATTTTCAGAAATGAGTGGAACAAATTCAATGAAATTTGTGGCAAAAATGCATTTTAGAAGATCAATCTTCTTTCAGTGATCAAAGAAACCCAAAAGGAATTGTAGATGGAATGAAACTACCCTCGCCCCCTGACATTCTTTTCATGACATTCATTTTGTTACTCTTTCAAAAACTCTATACCCCCCATATTCCCGAAGAAAAAAAAATTGTTCTTATCCATCATTCGGTTCCCCCCTTACGAGCAACCCTGAGAAGTCTTCAAGAGACTT